CCCTCCTCTCCCCAATTTTCTTCTCATCCCCCTTCCCCCTCCCCCTCCGCACGGCCCCCCCCATCGGCCCACTTCTGGTTCCTTCCCTCCACCTCTGCACCCCTCCCCCACTGTAGGCTCGCCTGCTGGGCCATCCTTCTTCCTACCCCGGAGCCCCCACCCGTCTCTTCTGCACCCCTATCCCCACCTCCTACCCTTCCCACTGCATCTTTGCTGAGCAGCCTGCTCCTCCACCACCGCCTGTGCCTTACCCCAACCCGAAATGGCCCCTTGGGCCAGCCCCAATTGGGGCCAGTGGATGGTGTTGGCCAAGCTGGGCACCAGGGAGGTGGGGGCTCTGCCCGCTTGTTGGGGGCTGAGTGTGTGGCCTGTTGGGCCCCAGCAGAGGAGCTGTGGAAGGTGCTGGGAGGCTGGAGCATCCTTTTGGGCCTGGCCGGTGGGAGGGCCTGGGCCTGGGGCCTGGCCTGATCCCCCATTCCCTAAGCAGGAGCACATGGCATTGGGAAGTGGTGGCTGCCTTCCAGGGAGCAGGGGGTTTTGGGGCCATTGAGGTATGGAGTCCCCACCAGGCCATGAACGGGGAGTCCCTTCTAGGGATGAAGAGCCTTGTGTGTGGGCCGCAGGGTGCCTGAGAGCGGCCACTTGGGTTTGGTTGTGTGTGTGCTTGGGGGCTTCCCCCAGCAGGATTCCCTCGCAGGGTTCTCAGCAGCCTGCAGTCACTCTGAGCAGGCTTCTGAGGCACCCCTGAACTTTTTACTGCCTCCCGTCACCCCACCCCAGCAGAGAGGTGCTTTGCAAGGGTTTGGGAGAGGCAGGCAGCCCCGTACTGCTCCACAGCCTAGGTGGGGGTGTGCTGAGCTGACTGACCGGGGCCCTGAGGGTCTTCCTCCCCGGGCTGTTCCTCCTGCTTGGGCCCCAGGAAGCCCCCGGGTTTGGGCCATGCCCCACTTTGTGAGGAGGGGGCTCTGGAAGGCTGCACCCCTGGTTTTCCACTGGGTTCTGAGCTGGTCCTCAGTTGGC